TTTCTTTCTTTCTCTCTGGCAAGTACATGTGCCCTGTGGCAAAAACCAAAAAAAAAAAAAAAAGTTTCCTCAGCAAGACCCTCAGCTACAGCTGTGGACTGTGCCGAGGGAGTGAGCACGCTCATTCTTGGCCTCTGAATCCGGGACCCACTGACTGAAGGCTGTCTCGAAGTCCCTGGTTCAGGGGGCTCCTCCACTCCCAACTCTAGTGCAGGCCTGGAAGCTGGGAGGTCCAGAGCCTCAGAAGGTGGATGGGGAACCAAGGCCCAGGCAGTGGGTCGGAGACAATGCTGGCAGCGCCCTGATGTCTCCTCCAGAGTGAGGAGACACCTCTCGTATGCTTCAGCTTGAACAACTTAAAATTCCTATTTGTTTATTTTCTAAGTCATTTTATTTATGCTAGAGAGTGTGTGAGAGAGGGACACCTTCAACAGGGTCTTGTCACACTGCAGTCCCCTTTCCCCAGCCCACCAGCTCACACATGCACATATGCTCTGACCTGGGATCTGAATGTATGGTTGACTATGTGGCTTCTAGGATGCTCATAATTACAACAGCAGGCCAGGCCTGAAATTCCTGGTTTTGTGGGATGAAAATGGAATAAATGGGAAACCCAAGCCCAGTGAGATGTATGCCTTTTCTAAGGTTTCTCAGCACAGAGGGTGGAACTGGGCTGTGCATTCCTGGGGCTCCTGCCTGAAGCTGTGCACACCTTTCTCCTCCTATGTGTACACACAGTAGTAGAATAAGCTAGGTTAGGCTGCAGTAATAAGTTAACTTCTAAATCCCAGTGGTTTGAAAGGCTTTTCTTGTTGACTTGTTCTGTTACTGGTCCATCATTAGTAACCTGGGGCCTAGTCATGGAGGCTCCACCCTGTGACACATCTCCAGTGGCTTCAGCCAGGAAGTGACAGGGTCACGGTTGCTCATGGTTCATTGACTAGAACAGTCACATGGGTCCTGCCTGACAGCAGGGGGTCAGAGCACAGAGGGAGCATGTGTACAGAACTGTTCTCCACGTCCTGCTTACTTGAGTTCCACCAGCTCTGTCCCCTGCAAAGGCAAGGACTCCCAGGTCCTGGACAGTAGGTGCCATTAACAAAATAATGGACAACATAGGACCAGCAGCTAACCTAACAGTTACAGCGCTGGATTCCCATGTAGTTGACTGGTTCGAGTCCCAGACCTTGCGGCTTAATACTCAGGCTGGGCACATGTGCTTGCATGCCCAAGATCCCAAGAGAAGAATGGAGGAGAAAGGATTGGGTGTGGCCATTTCCCTTGGGGTGGGGGGCAATTTTTCACTTTTTTGTCTCTCTGGTAGGTATACATACCCTATAGCAAAAATCTCAAAAAAATAATGGGCACTATGACTTCTTGCCTAAAGCCTGTCCTCATTTTGTCTGGGGTCCCAACCAACCTCAAATGCAAGTAGTTAAGGTGACTGGGAGTGGTGGGACCCAGGGCCATCCGGCAAGCTCATGTCCCCCCCTAAAGCTTCCAAGGTCCAGTGTCTACATGACCCATGCCATGTGTGTCTGCAGAGCGGATTCAGTGGTAGGCCATTGGGTTTGTCACTTGATTCTGGAACCTGGGGGTACACTCTTCTACATGTAATTTTTTTTAGCAATTATTATTTTTTTAATTGCCACAGAAAGAGGGAGAAAGCACGTCTCAGTGGGGCGTGATCATGTTGTAATACCTTCTCCCCCATTTCTCCATCCTGTTGAGATTTGGGCACACACATGGAAGTGCCTGGTATGTTTTTTAAACAGCTGGGCCTGGTACTCCAAGCACAGTGGGCCATGTGGGATCTGGCTCCCTCAACCACTGGGCTATGAGATTGGCCCTAAAATTTATTTTTTATTGTGTAAAATATTATGAGAAATTTTCCATGTTAACTTTCTAAAAACGTGCAGCTATGGAGTATTAAGTATATTCACATTACCCAACTAGAACTTTTTTCTTGCAAAGCTGAGACTCTGTCCCCGTTGAATACTACCTCCCTATTCACCCCTCCCCTTGGTGCCTGGCAGCCACCATTATACTTTCTGTCTCTATGAATGTGACCAAGCCATGTACCTCTTGTAAGTGGGATCATATAGGATCTGTCCTTTGGTGACTGGCTTATTTCATTCAATACAGTGTCTTCGAAGTTCATCCGTGTTAGCATACGTCAGAATGTCCTTCCTTTTCAAGTCTCAGTGATACCCTGTTGGGTGGATAGACCACCTCGTTTTGTATATCTGTTCATCAGTTGATGGACACGTCACTTCCACCTTTTGTTTATAGTGAACGATGCTGCTATGAGCACTTTTGAAGATACCTCTTTGAGTCCCCACTTTTAATTCTCTTGGGTATATACTCAAAAGTCCTGGGTCATTTGGTAATTCCACTGTTTTTGTTTTTGTTTTTCCCCTTGATGTGTTGTTTTTGCTGTGAGGTCCTGTGCTCTCTCTGGAGAGAAACAGAGAGAGTGAGAAAGCACCCCCACACACACACCCCAGGGGGGATGGCCATGTTATAGTCCCTTCTCCGTTTTCCTCTTGGGATTTTGGGCATGTATGCACAGGTGCCTGGCATGTTTTTTTAAGCCTCTGGGTCCAGGACTTGAACTGCTCAACCTGCAGTGTGGAATCCAGGCACTTTAACCACTGTATTACTGGTTGGCCCCTATTGCTAATTTTTTGAGGCACTTTCTACTGTGGATTTTTTTTTTTTTTTTGAGATTTTTACTGTAGGGCTTGTGCGTTTACTGGGGAGACAGACAGGAAGCAAGAAATCTCCCCCCAAGGGGAATGGCCTCACTGCAATTCCTTGTCCTCCATTCTCCTCTTGGGATTTTGGGCATGCACACACAAGTGCCCAGCCTTAGTTTTAAGCTGCCAGATCTGGGACTTGAACCACAGTTAACTACTTTGGAGCCAGTGGTGTAACCATTATACCAATTGCTGGTCCCGGAAACCCTCTATTGTTTTACTTTCCCATCAGCTTCTAGTTTCTTCACATCCTTGCCAACGCTTGTCTTTGACAGCTGTCCCGATGATCTCAAAGCGTATCCCCTTGTGGGTTTAGTTTGCATTTCCCGAATGGTGATAGTGAGCATCTTTCCTGTACTTATTGGTCATTTGTATGTCTTCTTTGGAGAAATATCTCTCAAAGTCCTTTTGCCCATTTCAAAATTGAGTTTAGCTTTTTTGTTGTTGTTCCACATGTTATTTTAAATCAAAGAACCTGTGGGCGTCAGTGGTTTTGGTTAGAAATTTTTTGACCAGAGGGAAGAAAGAATCTAGAATCCTGCTGTCAAACAATAATTATAAATTTGACATAGCTGAATCAGCTTGTAGGTTCAGCTGTGGATAACAGACCCAAACTAGCTCCAACAGAATGTTTCCCATAAAAGGTTCCCTGTAAAAGCCCAAGCTGGAATGCTTTCATATGCCCCTTGAATCATCAGGACAAGGGGTTTCTCTGGAAAAACAGTGGTTTTGAATATTTGGAAGGCTTCTCATCCATTCACTGCCAGTCAGTTCCACATACAAGAAACCGCAGCCCAAGGTCTCTGGACATTGCGTTCCATCAAACCTGTGACGCCATTGGTTGAGAGACATTATTTCCTGTAACCCTGAGAAAATTGCCATGGTCAAACTGACGCTCATTGACCAAGATAATGCTGATTTCCGAGATGGTGAAATGAGAAATAATTTGCATCTTAGAACTGATAACCACAAAAGATCTTAAGGCTGAGAACTCTGTCCATCCCAGGCCATCTCAATTGTGGCCTCCTTGGGGTGGTCTCAACAGTCAGCTGAGGTGGGACAGACGGCAGCCTCAGTTGCTGCCTGAGAACTCTCAGGTGCTTGAGCAAGCCTGGGCCACCGGCTTCTATTCTGTCCACACAGCCCGTCTGGAGCTGCTGCTTAGGGCTCCTGTTTCCGGTATAGAGGCTTTTTTAAACTTGCGGGACCCCAGGAATGGA